TCAATCCAAAACTCAATCCAAAACTATATTCAAAACTGATTATACGAGTTACATATGTGCCTATTTATAGGCATCAAAAAGTTTCCTTAGCCACTTAGGAAATACAAATATCTAGGAGTCCTTCATGGCTAAGTTTCCTTAATAAAATATAAGTTTCCTTTATGGCTAAGAAAACAAATATAAATATCAGTCAAAACGGTCAAAAAATGCAGGCTCGTCTGGAATCTGGATTGCAGCTTAGGATAGCCTAGCATAGCTTTGTAAGCCAACAAATGCTCTGCATCACACACGAAAAGTCCTTGCTGGAAGGGGGAGAGGGAGCTCAAAAATCTCATTTCTTATGTGATCTATGAGGGGAGAGGGGGAGGAAGTGAGAAGAGGAATGGTGGGAGAAGGGGAGGGGGGTAGGGAAAGATTTTGTGTCTGTATGAAGCTGAAAATTGTTTCTTGGAACGTTTGAGGCTTAAATGACTCGAACAAGAGGGCGGTGGTGGAGGCACTAATTCGTAAATGGGAGGCGCAAGTGGTATGTTTGCAAGAAACTAAGGGTTCTTCTTCAGATAGAGAGATGAAAGGGCTGTGGGGAGGTCGTTTCATTGAGTGGGAGGCGATTGATGCTGTGGGAACTTTGGGGGGATTGTGGTTCCTTGGGACAAAAGGTGGGTCTCAAAGGTTGACATGTGGAAGGGGAAATCTTCTATCCCCTTGTTGTTCTCGTTAGAGGAAGATGGGTCTCAATGGATGTTTTCGGGTGTTTATGGGCCGGTCGTGGATGTGGAAAGGAGGGAGTTGTGGGAGGAGTTATACGGTTCCGTGGTGTGTGGGATGGGACTTTAGTGTTGTTAGGATACCCAATGAAAGATCTACAGGAGATTGTTGGATGACAACCATGAGGGATTTCTCAGACTTCACCGATGGTCATTATCTTTTAGATCTTCCGAGGAGGGAGGCCATTTCACATGGTCTTGCGGACGGGACGCCCTACGTTGTCTCGACTAGACATATTTTTTATTTTTGCAGATATGGAAGAGAAGCTCCCAGATGTGGCTAGCTTTAACGCTAGCGGTTTCGGACCACAAACCTATTCTACTTGACTATGGAGGGGTAAGGAGAGCAAGAACTCCATTCTAGTTTGAGAATATGTGGCTTCGTGTTGGGGATTTCAAATATAGGGTCTGTTCTTGGTGGACTAGTTATGAAGTTAGGGGCAACCCAAGCTTCCAACTTGCTTCCAAAATTAGGATGATGAAGGGAGATTTAAAGAAGTATAATAAGGAAGTGTTTGGGAATCTCGAATGGTGGAAAAACAGAATCCTTCTTGAAATCTCTGAGTTGGATAGGAAGGAGGGTGAGGGGGGCCTTAGCATTATTGAGGTTAGTAGGAGGTAGAATGCAAGGTTGAGTTTGGAGAGATTGTGAAGATGGAGGAAATTTTATGGAGGTAGAAATCTAGAGCTCTTTGGTTGAAAGAAGGCGACCGTAATATGAAATTCTTCCACCGCTTGGCGAATGCCCATAGAAGAGGAAATCATATTGGAAGGCTTCAGATTGATCGAAATATGGTGTCCAGGGATGAGGAGGTTCGGGCTGGTTTTGTTTCTTTCTTCAGCAGTTATTCACGAAGACAGCTTCATGGAGACCATTGTTGGATAGGCTTGAGTTTTCAGGTTTCTTGAGTGAGATGGTGATTGGCTTGAGAGGCCATTTGGGGAGGAGGAGGTTTTGGAGGCTTTGAGAAGTTGTGATGGTGACAAAGCCTCGGGACCGGATGGATTCACATTGGCCTTTTTCTAACAAAATTGGGAGGTGGTAAACACGGAGGTGATGGGAGCTCTTGGTTCTTTCTATTCGAATGGTGTATTTGAGAAGAGCCTTAATGCTTCTTTTATCACCATTGTTCTGAAGAAGAGTGGTGCCTATTGAGGCAAAGGATTTCAGACTGCTTAGTTTGATTGGTGTGATTTATAAGATTTTTGCGAAAATATTAACCATCCACCTGATTTTGGATTCGGTGTTGGTCGCTAGTGAGTGTGTGGAGTCCAAGGTCAGAAGTGGTGTTCCGGGGATTGTTTGCAAATTGGACATCAAAAAGGCCTATGATCATATTTATTGAATTTTTTTGATGTATATGTTGGAGAGGATGGGATTTGGACATAGATGGAGATCATGGATTTACTCGTGCATATCGACAGCATGCTTTTATGTCTTGGTGAAGGCTCCCTTGCAAGTTTCTTTGCTAGTTCTCATGGGTTACGCTAGGGAGACCCTTTATCCCCCTTTTTGTTCATTATTGTTATGGAGGCCTTTAGTAGGTTGATGGGGAGGGTAGGGGAGTTGGGTCTTATTCGAGGTTTCTCGATAGGAAATTTTCCTAACCAATTATCTATATCTCACTTGCTTTTTACTGATGATACTATTGTTTTTTGCAACGCGAGGGTGGATATACTGAGTTTTTTGAGATGTGTTTTGGCTTGCTTCCAAGTTGTTTCAGGTTTAAAAATCAAACATTGGGAAAAGCGAGTTGGTGCTAGTTGGGGAGGTTGACGAGATTCATGATTTAGCGAACATTCTAGGGTTTGGTCCGATCTCCTATTTGGGGCTTCCCTTGGGTGCCTCGTCCAGAAGAACTTCAATTTGGGATCTTGTGGTTGAGAGAGTTGAAAGAAGACTTGCAGGTTGGATGAAGCAATACCTTTCGAAAGAAGGGAAAATTACTCTTGTTGAAAGCACTCCCTCGAACCTCCGTACTTACTTCATGTCTCTTTTCTCGATGCCTATGTCCATTGTTCAGAGGTTAGAGCAGATTCAAAGGAAGTTTTTGTGGGGTGGAAAGGGTGAAGAGTTCAAATACCACTTGGTTAACTAAGACAATGTATGCTCCCCTTTTAAGAAGGGTGGCTTGGGTATTAGGAGATTGGAGCTGTTCAACAAGTCTTTGCTTGGAAAATGGCTTTGGAGATTTGGAGGAGAAAGGTCTAGATTATGGAGGAGGGTCATTGCCTGCCGATTTGGGGAGGGAGAGGGAGGTTGGGTGTCTGGAGAGTTGAGAACTCCAACGGGTGTGGGCGTGTGGAAGCTTATCCAAAAGGGTTGGGACGAGTTTTCAAAATGCATCCGGTTTAAAGTTCAGAATGGGAGACATATTAGGTTTTGGGAGGATTGTTGGTTTGGGGATGTTACCTTGGTTCGTAGGTTCCCTAGACTTTCCAGGATCTCTACGAGTAAGCATTCTCTGGTTGCTGACTGATATCGTCTTGATGATGGGAGGTTGACTTGGGATGTGCATTTCATAGAGCGTTTCATGATTGGGAGCTCTCAGATGTCACATTGTTTTTAGCTTTTCTCTATAGTCAGGTGGTGGAGGGTACGGGTTTGGATGAGATGGTTTGGGAGGGCTCTCCAAGAGGGGTTTTTGATGTCAGATTCTACTAGAGTTTGTCGAAAACCCGAGGCTACTCCTTCCCTTGGAAAGCACTTTGGAAGATGGATGCCCCCTTGAAGGTGGCCTTCTTTACTTGGACAGTCGCTCTTGGAAGCATTCTCACTCTTGACAATCTTAGAAGGAGAGGTCAGATCGAAGTGAATTGGTGTTACATGTGTAAGAATTCGGGAGAATAAGTGAACCATCTTCTTCTTCATTGCCCGATAGCGAGAGATATTTGGTCTAGGATCTTGGTTGCTTTTGCTATGGTTTGGATGTTCTCCGGCTCCACAATGGATATGTTAGTCTTGGAGAGGGTGTATTGTGGAGAGCCGAGTCTGAGAAGTGGCCCCTTTGTTTATGGTGGGGTTTGTGGTGCGAGAGAAATAGGAGATCTTTTGAGGGAGAGGAATCTCCAATTTGGACTCTCAAATACAATATACTGTCTAGTTTATTCTTTTGGGTGCATGGGCGTAATTGTAAATCTTTGGGGGATCTTTTGGATTTTGTGGATAGTTTGAAACTTTAGTGTCATCTTGGGCGTCCTTTGTGGTGTGGGTTCGCTCCCCTTTTTTTGAGCACCTTTAATGAAATCTTACTTAGCAAAAAAAAAAAAAAAAAAAGTGTGTAGAAAAAGATAAACATTCTTCAAGTGCACAATTTATATATTTAAAATCTGGCAATTATTCCCGGCAATAATTTCCTTCTTCCCTTGCTACCAGTGTCGTCTTCGGACTTCGATCCTCTCCGGTGCTGGAGAGGGTCTATGAAGGGTGGAGATTGCTTCATTAGGTAGTGAGTGCGAAACATCATAGATGGGTCCCACCTGGTGGTCCAAACTCCACCCTTGGTGGAATACAGGATCTTCTCTAGCGCTGGAGAGGATCCTTGCGCATCTTCCTGGTTTTTCTTCCATAGCTACCTGACAATTAGCAACTGTCTTCTGAGTGACTGGCAGTTTCTTCTTCCTATACTCTTGACACCTGTCCATCCACTAAGCACATTTTTGTGGATGGTTGTAACTACTCTCAAATGACCACCTTCAGATTGAGCTACTTATTCCCCAATTCTCTTCCAAATAAAAGCGATTATTCTCAACTATAATACTTTATAGTTATCCTCCTGACTGTAATTTCTTCTTCATGGAGGTTTTGCCACCTGTCTTCCACATTCCTCTTATTCCAGCTATTATAACTGCCAAGCCTGTCTTCCACATCCTTCTTATTCCAGCTATTATAACTGCCAAGCTTTTCTTCCAGATCATGCCACATGTCATATTTTGCATTCATCAAACTTCTTGTCCACTTGATCATTAATCAAATTTCCTTAATCACTTAATTTAGACAGAACCTATGGCCCACGGCATACTTCAATTGCACCCTCAGTCCATAATTATGGTGTAAACAGATACATTTAGAAAATTTTGCAATATTTCAAAATTTTGTTATTGTTATGTGGTACTATATTGTCTTGTTTGTTTATGACACTCAATTCTTTCTCTAATATTTTGTAACCATAATAATTGTGACTTCTTTTTCTCTGACCACAAATATTCAAGGATGTGTTTTTGTTCCTATAGGGTGGTAGTAACTATGCTGGTGCTGGGTCGGTAAAGATATCCCCTGATGTTTCTGAAGCTTTATCACATAGGAAAGCAGTTGTTGCTCTCGAGTCCACCATTATTTCTCATGGTATGCTGATTTGCTGCTTTTTATAGAATAAATTTAATCTTTATTTTTTTGTTATAGTATATAATTTTTGGTTAGATACAGTTTGTTTGTTTAAAGAGAAATTTCGAAGCTATCTATTGTTTTTGCTTGAAATTTTCCAAGTTTCTCTTGGATTTAGCTTTTAGTTCTAGGCCACCAAACTTTTCTCCTGCTAAAGAATCCTTCTTTAAATGAAAATTTGAGGCGACATGAAAAAATTTCTCCGACTTGCGTAATCCATCCTAATACTTTAATAAATGGCTCCTTAAAAAAATTTTGTTCCCTGAAAAATTTCAAGGAGCCATTTTGTAGAAATTAGTGAACTCTTTATTTTAAATTTCACAAAGCAAGGGTGGGAGCCAAGCCGTGATGTGCTGGGTGTTAGACTGTTCAAAAGTTGCTTGATTTAATTTGAACCTAACTCGAGCCTTACCTTGACTTAACATGCACGTGCAAGCTTAATTTATACATTATATATGCTTAGACTCATTAAATAGTCTAATCTAGTATTTGGAGTCAAAATCTAGCACTTTTATTGTTACTATTGAGACAAGTGATCAGCATTTTACAACGTTCTTTTTATTGTTGACATTTGCTTTTGAAGCATTTACAACTTACTCCTAATAATCAGCACTTGCTTTAAAAGTATTTTAGTACCACTGCGTGGCACAAACCAAAGCCGTTTAGGAACCTGAAATAAGTGGATCTATTGTTGTTGTCTTGTCTTGTTAAATAATCGAGCTTGGTATGCAAGCGTTAGCTTGGTTTGATTGAGTTTTGAATGATTTCTAAGCTCCTAATTATACTGTCACATGCTGTTTGTGAATAGCCTAGTTCTTTAAAAATGCCATCTCCAAGTATATAATTGTTGTTGCTATAAGAACATTTTGTTGAGGATCTCAAGCCCTACCAAAGACTTGGGATATAAATGAGTTGAACCACGCCAAGTCGAGCTAAGTTTATGAGCTCAACTTCTTCATTTTTGAGCAATGCAAAGGCTCAATCGGGGTTCTTGATGAATTTGGAAATGTGAGCTTGAGCTTGGTACGAGTGTATCAGTGAGCCATGAGAATGGCAAAAGCGGACCGAATCGCAGTATGAATCACAAAATTAGAGGGGTTGCAAACTCTTTTACTACAACTCTTTCTCCTTCTGAGGTTGTCTATGGAGCAAAACCGGATAATGTGCTTGATTTTGCTGCAATTCTATTTCCAAGAAGGACAAGGTCTAAGGCGGAAAATATGGCTCAGCTCATGCAAGAAAATCATATGAAAGTGAGGAATCATCAAATGCAAAATATAAGGTTATTGCCGCCGATCGCACAAAAGAAGGGTGATTTTTGAAGTTGGAGATTATGTTTGGGCCAACTTATCAAAAGACTGAGTTCCACCCTATTGTTGCTACAACTCGAGGGATAGAAAGATTGGTCCATTCGGGGTGATTAAGAAGATTAATGATAATGCCTACCAGTTTAAGTTACCAAGTCATATTCACGCATAAGATGTTTTTAACGTTACGCATTTGGTTCCTTGCATGAGGATTCCGACAGCTCAAGGGCGAGTACTTTCCAACACGGGGGACTAATGTATCTAATGGACCTAGCCTAGTAAAAGTGATGCAGCAGTGGGTAGGGACGATTCGAAAACAGAATTCAAGTAAATAAGAAAGAAGTTAAGAAAGAGATTGAGAGAGAAATAGAATAAGAATAATAGGGGAATAAATCAGAATGAGAGAGAAGAGAAGAATCACAAAGGGAGAAATCAGAATTGAGGGAGAAGAAACACAATAATTTCTAAATAATAATCAATAATCAATCATCAAAGCATTCTTTCACAATCTCTAAACCAACATATAGATAGGCATCAAAGAAAAACCCTAAAATTCTATTTACCATAAATAAAACCCTAAAATTCAATAGTAATTATAAAAGCAAAACCCCTAACTCTATCTTTCTTTCCCATGTCTCCAATAGTAGGTGTGGGCCATATGGACTTCAAGCTCTTGGGCCAGTCCCGGTTCTCCATCAAAAAGATTTCCTACAATATTGGGAACACCTGAAAAAGGAAAGAAGCGGAGGAAGGGCAAGTGAGAACCAGAAATTTCTAGCAAGTTTTTATTTATTTCTAATTTCCAGCAACTATATAACTTTCAGCAACTTTCTTATTTTAGTTTTAATTTATAATTGGTAGCATAGCCAATCAATGGCTAAGACTGAGGAGGAAGAAAATCTTTGTTAAGCCTCGTAATTGCTAGGTTTTGAGAACGAATTGAAGAGATTATTTTAAACACTAAGAGTTTGCTTTTTGTTGTAATAGGCGATTTCAAGGTACTGAAAAGAATCTGTATATTTCGTACTAAGAATGGTTTACAGTGCTTTAGTTAAATAGGAAATACAAGGAGCTAAAAAAGGAAACTACAGGTTGTACACTAACAGAATTTCCTAATTCTTAGTCATTGACTATCTATATTTACACGCCTATCATATCCCCTAAAATCCGGTCTTATTGAAACAGAATATCTCCTATTCAACACTCCCCCTCAAGCTGGCTTGTAGATGTCTTCCATAGCTAGCTTGCTTCTTAAAACTTCAAACTGTCTCTTGTGTAGTCCTTTGGTAAGGGTGTCTGCAGCTTGTTCAGTAGTAGAGACGTAAGGAATGCAAATCATACCACAGTCAAGCTTTTCCTTGATAAAGTGTTTGTCAACTTCCACATGTTTGGTTATGTCGTGGAGGGCTGGATTATGAGCAATTGAAATGGCAGCCTTGTTGTCACAGTAGACTCTCATGGGAGGAGAAACAGTAACCTTCAAATCTTCAAGGAGTCTTTTTAACCACATAGCTTCGCAAATCCCATGGGCGAGTGATCTGAACTTGGCCTTTGCACTACTCTTCGCTACTACATTTTGTTTCTTGCTTCGCCACGTGACTAAGTTTCCTCCAACGAAGGTGCAATATCCTGAGGTAGATCGTCTATCAACCGTACTGCCTGCCCAATCAGCATCTGTGTACACCTCCACTTGCAAATGACCTTGGTTCTTGAACACAAGTCCTCTACCTGGTGAGCCCTTTAAGTACCTTAGAATCCTGTACATTGCTTCAAAGTGTTCCTATCCGGGAGAGTGCATGAACTGACTCACCATACTGACTGCAAATGCTATATCTGGGTGTGTGTGAGACAAGTAAATTAGTCTTCCCACCAATCTCTGATATCTCTCACGATCAACCACATTCTCGGGTTTTGCAGCTTCTAACTTCAGGTTGACTTCAATTGGAGTGTTAGCAGCTTTACACCCGAGTAGTCCCCGTCTCATTAAGCAAATCAAGCACATATTTTTGTTGATTAACGAAAATTCTTTCTCTTGACCTGGCAAATTCCATTCCAAGGAAGTATTTTAATGCTCCCAGATCTTTGACTTCAAAATCTTCGGCAAGGTTCTTCTTTAGTCTGGTCAACTCTTCAATGTCATCACTTGTAAAATTATGTCATCCACATACACAATTAAAACGGCAATTTTCCCTTCCTCACCGTGTTTGTAGAACATGGTATCGTCTGCCTGACTCTGATTCCTCTAGTAACACTAAATCTTCAATAATAGGATAGTCCGCCTCGGCGCCTCCATGCGTTTCATTGATATAGGAGGAGGCCTAGGAATCCATTATGATGTTTCGAAATCAGCAAATTCGGATATTTCTTTCAGCTATGGGCTCGACGAGTATGCTGCCGCTGGTTTGTTTGTGACCGCAAGTCAGTCAAGCACCCTGTGATTTGCAGCAAGAGTGGCCGAGCCATCGTCTCTCACCATTCAATTTTGGTTTTTGAGGCTGTTTCTGCTAGCACATACGATGTGCCGCCGTTATCTTCGGTGAGTCTCACGTATTTGGTGGAAGGTCTCATAGAGACACTTGTAATGACTACAGGAATCTCTCTGCTCTGGCGATTCGAGGTGAGTATGATTCTTGTTTGCTCTATGCTGATCAGCTCAAGCGGAGATGTGTTGAACAGTTCAAGGAAGGGTCATTCGTTATGGAACAACTGGTCATTGTTGATGGCTTATGTGACATGGTATCCAAAGCAATCGGAGCTTTTGATCAGAAGCCCGGAGTGAGAGGTATATTGTCAGATTTAACATGTGACAGTGATGGGAAGATTGATAGTTTCATCTGCGGCGAGTCTAGCTTGCCGCTTCATGATATGGAAGGCAACGACAGTGGTGGTTGTGGACGGTACTATTTGGGGATGTTCTTGGGCAGGGCTTATGAGGAGGCACTCGGAGGCCTTCACAACCTGTTTGGTGGCCCAAGTGTGGTGCGCGTTTTGCAGAGTGACGGACCTACAGCTTTGCGGTGACGTTTGCCGGGGCTGTCGTGCAGTGATGTGCTTCGGGTGATGCAGCATGAGCCCGAGCTCATGTTCCAGACCCTCAAGCACTGCGTGGAGGAGTTGGTGCACGACGATGATGGCGACGGCTCCGGCCAGGCTTCTCTAGCCAATGGTCTTTGCTCAATAGTATTCAAAAGTGAGTATGAGTGTAAAATATAGTCGAAGATCTTTCTACATGAAAAATCCATCTTAATTTGATACGTGAAAAACATGTATTTATAAACCAATTTATGAAGAAGATATGCAAAAAGGTATTTTAGTATAAACAAATTCCAAAATAATTCAAGTTTCCTAATATATTCTAAATCAATTTTAACCAACTTTTCAAGATTAGTTAGCAACCTTTTAGATGAACTTAATTATAAATTCATCACTACTAACCCTATGGTCTTTTATTTTTTATTTATTTTTTTTCTTAGTTGGTACTCACACACACTTGTCTCTTCTGAGACTTGAACCCTGACCTCCCTTTGGAAAGTAAGAGGCTGATACCGCTAGGCCACTGGCCCGTTGGTAATCCTATGGTCTTTTAGGTCACTTGGGTTTTCTAAACTATGTGGTTGATAGATCTGAAGCAAGATGTTGATGTGATTTTTTTAATTCTGTCTTCAACTATAATCACAGCTTTAATGTCAATGATGAAAATTCCGATGAAGTGACACAACACTATAAACCAAGACTGAACTTCGGCTCACAGAATAATTCCGTCACATGATACTTCTTTGTGGTAGAAATGTCCATCTTTCAAGCTGAGTATGACAAACAAGCTCATAGTTTTGGTTCGAGCTCAACTTGTTTATTTCATAAACAAACATGAGCTGAATTCAAGATGTTTATGGACAACTTGGTTCATGTACAACTGTAAAAAGGAGTTGGGCACTGAATTTGGCATTCCAGGAATATTAAACTATTTCAATGGGTTTGAAACAAATGTAATATGCTATTCAAATCATTTGAAACGAGTTTCTTCTGTTCCATGTATATGATTAATTCTTAAATTTTATTAAATGAGATAGTTTTCACATTTCATTTCCATTTTTGGTGATGACTTCAACAAACATGTAATTTTACATTATCATTTAAATTGTGTGCTTTTGTGTTCAATGCTAACTAAATATGAAAACTGACATGTGACAGCATATTAGGTGCGCGCCTTAAATCGTGTGCTTCATATTAAAGTTGCATCATCCACTTTCTGTCATTTTTAACCTACTGGTTTTCTCTATTCTGTTCAGGAATGCCCTATCCTCAAAACTTGGAAACTGCAATGGAGGTGGAGGCAGTCATAAGGGAAAATGGAGCGGTTCCTGCTACTGTTGCTATTTTAGATGGCGTACCATGCATAGGTGTTTATTTCAAACTTGTTTATTTAAATTCTTACATGGATATTTAAGCAATTTGACTTGTGCTTTTTTCTGTCTATGTTTCTGTACAATCTCTAAGGTTCTACCATAGGAAATCTGTATTTTTTTATTTTAATCTTCTGTCAGTCTCTCTCCCCCCTCCCCTTCTCGATTTTTTACCGAATGAAGTGGAAAATGTATAAATATGAACATTATACTTACTACAAGGCTAAAAAGTGAAGGCGTACCTTTTTTTTTTTACAAGTGAGATTGTATTAGAAGGCGTTCAAAGGGGGAATGCATCCCAAGGAAGCTACACAAGGAAATAGAAGCAAAAGGGCCTAAGAACCCAAAAAAATTAACTAATTCTCCTAACGATTTACAAAATCGCCTAAAGACCCAACAAAAAAAGAGAATGCATGAAAGACAAATTCAAAGTGCCAATAGAAGATTCCTTTCCGTCAAAAGATTTTCTATTCTGCTCCCTCCACAAGCACCCCCAAAGACATAAGGGTGCCACCCTCCAAGAGTCATGGGCTTGGGAGTTCATTATACACCCTCTCCAAGCATCAATTGAGAGCCTTTGGAGTATCGAGGCATGACCCACTGGACCCCTGACAAACCCAAGATACAGTGTTGTTAAAGGCACGCCTAGGCTCGAGGCGCAGGTCTAGCGCCTGTTGTCATCCCAGACACATTGATGTTTATTAGGTGCGCACCTTGGATGCGCCTCGTCCTATTTGTCAGCCGTGCCTCACTGATTACTTTTTTTAAAAAATGATTATTCTATTTCTTAAGCCAAAAAAGGTACTTTTGGTAACTTAATAACCAAATAAGAAAACCTAAGCATATGAGAGAAGGAATTTTTGTTCAAAAAAATAAACAAATAAGAAAGCCCAAGAGTAAAAGTGTCAACCGAACATAGAAAGAGTGAGACTGTGAGACCAACGACGAAGCCCTAGTTGTAGAGACGAAAGACAAAGCCATGTCAATTCTTTCTTCTTCTTCTCTCTCTTCTCTACTCGTCTCTTCTCATCTTTGTTTACTTCTCTCTCTTCGTCTAGTTCTCCTTTCTGCCCTTTTTTTTTGGGCTCTGTTTTTTCTCCTCTTTCATCTTTAATACTCTCTCTCTCTTCTTATCAACTTCTCGCTCTTCATCTACTTCTTTTGTCTGTCTTTTTTTTTTTTTTTTTTTGTCCTTTTCTTTTAATAGTTTTTCTTTTTTATTTTTAGTAATAGATTTATTTCTTTTTGTGCTATGTTTTGCCTTCCAAAAAAACAAATTTTGTTTTGCCTTTTAAGAAAACAAATTTGTGCTCTGTTTTATGGTTCTTGAATGCTTATATTGTTGATGGATATACTTTTTTATATTAGATATTAATTTTTATAATATTGATATGGCTTATGAGATATGAATACTTTCATGGTAGTTTAAAATTTTAATTGTGCGCCTCACTTTACTCAAGCGCGTCCCTCGTTGTGCACCTCCCGCCTAGGCTCCAAAGGACCTCTGGCACCTTGGTGCGCCTTGACTTTAATAACATTGCCAAGATAAGATCCCAACAATCCTGGCCCACGGGGCAATGCAACAACAGGTGATCGACAGACTCTCCTTTTCTTGCACATACAACACCAATTGACAACAATCTGTCTTTACTTCTCAAGTTGTCCAATGTCAAGATCTAACCTAAATCCGCTGTCCAAACAAAAAAAGGCAACCTTAGGGGGAGCATTGGACAGCCAAAGAGCCTTCCAAGGGAAGGCAGGCCCGGGCATCCGAACTATACCTATACAGAGCAAATATCAAATCTCCAATGAGAATATGGCATCCAAACACAGGCATCTGAACTAACTCCAATGATCTCCTGACGATAGAGTAGCTCTAGGAAAATAAGAACGTCGTCCAGCTCCCAATCCTAAAAGTGTCTCAAAAAATGCATCCCAAGTCAACCTCCCACTAACAAGCTCATAACAGTCGGCAACCAAGGCATGTCTATCAAGAGCGATCTTGAAAAGCCTGGGGAAAGCACGTCAGCACGTGCCAACGGATGATCTCCACACCAAGTGTCCGCCCAAAAGTGAATATTCCTACCACCTCAAACCCTGAATTTGATATGTTTAGAAACTTATACCACCCATTCTGAATAAATTTCCAAACGCCACCACCATCTGGACCCCTCACCTCAAGGGAGTACCAACCACCCCTAGCCTCCCTAAAGCGGCTCGAAGTGACTCTCCCCCAGTGGCTGTGGCGCTCAACATGAAATCTCCATAACCACTTTCCCAAAACAGCCTTGTTAAAAGGTACCAACCTCCTGATTCCCAAACTAACCACCTAGAGCGGCCTGCACACTTGCTCCCAGCAAACAAGGTACTTGAACTCCTCTCCCATACAACCCTATAAGAAATTCCATTGGAGTCTCTTAATCCTACACGCCACTGAGGAAGGAATTTGAAAAAGAAAGGAAATAGGTACGGAGGCTCGGCAACATGCTCTTCCTGAGGGTGACTCTGACTCTCACACCCATCGAAAGATGTTGTTTCTTCCTCCCAGCAAGTCTCCTCTCGAATCTCTCAACCATCAAATCCCAGCTACCCACTCTTCTCAACGTCGAGCCCATAGGTAAACCCAGATAAGAAAGAGGAAAAAAGCTTACCCCACAACTAAGAATGTCAACCAAAACTAGAGAACTTTGGAACCTCTCCCACAGGGACCAAGGCACTCTTTCTAATATTGACTTTCAGAGGAGAGATTGCCTGAAAGCAAATCAAAACACACCTCAAATATCTCTGGGAGACGTTTGCATTGCAAAACACCAAGGTATCATCAGCAAACAAAAATTGGGAGTTCTCCAACTGATGTGATGGGTCCCTCCCCACCCTGAACCCTTGAATGAAGCCTAACTCTACTGCCCTCCTCATCAATGTATTGAGAGACTCCATCACAACGATAAACAGAAAAGGTGAAAGAGAACAACCCTCCCTCAAACAAATACTAAAGAACTTGTGATGTTGCGGCCTGAATTTGGTTCCGGGTTGCGTTGCGACCTGTTTCCGACCTAACGACCCGTTGATTGAGTTTTAGGCCCACCAAAGCTATGGGGGTTGCCCTCGAGGAAAATTTTTGACCTGTTTTTTGCTTACGGGTTGTGAACCCTGTTTAGTACTCTCATATAGCCTAATATATGGGTGTTTAGGTTTTGGAGTGGGATGTTGAGAGACTGAAAATTGCAGGAGGGAGAGTGAGAGCGAGAGCTAGGGTTTGGGGGCTGAAACTTGTAATCTTCTGTTTTTGCAGAGTGAGAACTTTCGCCGGATCTTCACCATGGATGTAGGCTTTGCCAAACCATGCTAAATATTTTTGTTCTTTGTATGACGTGTTTATTTTTTTGTCGCATGTCTTGATTTTTTCTCGAGTTAGTTGTAACAAAACCTAGTCGGGGATCCGTTCACAAGAACTGAGAACCTCACTGAGGAAATGCAGATTTCAATCGACCTTCTACCTCACCCCAAACCCCATTCTCTCCAATAGATAAAGCAAGAATCTCCAACTGACATGATAATAAGCCTTCTTAATGTCAAGCTTGCATAGAATCCCTAGAACACCACTGCTCATCCTACTCCACACACTCATTAGCAATAGAGCTAAATCAAGGATCTGGCGATCACCGATGAAGGAGGCATTTTGGGACATGCCTCGTCCTCATGGCTATAACCTTAGCTATTAGTTTGTAAATGTAGCCCCCCAAATTAATAGGTCTAAAGTCCCTAACATTAGAAGCTCCACCCTTCTTGGGAATGGGGGCAATAAAAGAAGAATTCAAGAATTTCTCAAAGTGCCCCTGAGAATGAAAAGTTTGAAAGGTACCCATCACCTCTCCCCTAACCAGCTCCCAACTTTCCAGAAGGAATCTCATAGTAAAGCCGTCCGAACTCGGTGCTTATCCCCATTGTCACTCTTCAGAGCAAAAAACACTTGCTCTTCGCTAAAAGGCCTCTCCAACCCATCTCTGTCCTCCTCAGAAATCACATCAAATTGAAGCCCCCCAAAGTCGGGGACTCTAGTTATAACTTTCCGAGTAAAGTCTTTGATAACAACTCCTCCCTGCATAAAATCTCCCTGTCTACTTGAATCATACTGATGTGATTGCCCTCTGATGAGCATTGGCTAGCCCATAGAAAAATCTCATATTACTGTTGCCCTCCTCAAGCCAAAGGGCCCAAGATTTTTGTCGCCACGAAATCTCCTCCGAAAAAGCAACCGCCTGACACACTTCCCTCCTACACTTCTGTGCCTACTCAAGACCACCCAGCCCCTCCAAGTGATTAATCTCTGCAATTTTAGAAAGAGCCTATTCTTCCTCCACTTGAGGTTCCCAAACACCTTCTTATTCCATCTTTGATGTCAAACTTCAGAAGGCGGAGCGTCCCAGTAAGAGTGAAGCTTGGAGTGCCAGTCACCTTATAATCCTGCCACTAAGACCTCACCCTACCCTTGAAATCCAACGACCGAAGCCACATGTTTTCAAATTTGAACGGGAACTCTGCTTCCTCAACCCTCTACAATCCAACACCAAAGGTATGTGATTCGAAGTAGGTCTAGCCAAAGCCTCCTAATCCATATTCGGAAATTTCTCCTCCCAATCCCCAGAGAGGGGAAATCTATCCAACCGAGTAAGATTAGGCAACTTCCGTGCTACTAGTTCAAGTAAAGGACGCTCCCTCCATGGCAAGTCAAGCAACGGATGACCATCAAGGAACTCTGAAAACTGCTCCATGGCCAATTCCCCTCCCCTCTTGTAGATCTCTCCAAAGGGGATCTAACCACATTAAAATCCCCTCCCACACACCACAGAAAGAACCAAGTCCCCCTCACAGAACCTAACTCCTCCCATAGAAGATGCCTCTCCTCATCCTCCACCAGACCATACACACCAAAAAACGCCCAGCGAAACCCATCCTCCTCCATGACAAAGGCACATTAAATAGAAAACCTCCCTCTCCACACATCCACCTTGGACACCCATCTCTTATCCCACATGACAAAATACCCCGGATGTGCCCAAAGCATCCAACACCTCCCACTCCACAGATCCCGCCCCATAGGCTTCTAATCACCCTATCCGAAATCGAATCCAACTTCATCTCCTGCAAACAAACCATATGAGCGCCCCATTTCCTAACCACCAACTTCACCACCTTCCTCTTATCCTAATCATTGAGACCTCGGACATTCCAAGAAATAATTTGGAACTTCATAAAGAAACAAAAGAAGTCCCCACCCCTCCTCCTCTCTCTCTACCCCTCCTTCTCTCCCTCTCTGTCACCACCTCCCCCTTCCCTTCATAGTAGACATAGGAGATGAGGTTCCACGCCTCACTCTCCCCCTTCCAAGAAGGAACCTTCTTCTTTTTAGCCGCTCCCTTCTTCTTATTCTAGTCAACCACATTCCAACCCTCCTCCATGGAATGAAACATCATCAATGCCGACCTTCGCATGTCACTCCCAACGCTAACACTGATATTCTCCATCACCCACTCCTCCCCTCGATCATCACCAGCCTCCACAAGCATCTCCTCCCTCCCGTCAACAGGCAACTCCACCGCTAAAGGATCAATCATCTCCATAAAGTTGTCTTCCCCTTCCTCCAACCCAAAATATCCAACGGGCAGCCAAACTGATCGGTCAGCCGTCCTCGTTATGATCAACCACAGATTCCTCTGATCCATCTTAACCGAAGAGACAGAAGGCCCATTCACCAAGTCTATTTGCTCCTTTGGACTGACTGAAATTATGTCCTGCATCAATTGCTCCTTCTGGTGATGATACAATCAGTTGGAATTGTGGCACATTTAGTTTCAAGTCTATTTGGAACTCTTGCAGGGCTAAAGGCACTCAAGTTCCATGTTTCAGTCTAGCTAAGAAGATTTGCAGACCAAGGGTGGCCCTTATAGCTTATATTTTTTTCCAGGTTGCTATTCCCTTGTACACTAATCTGAAGAAGAGAGTGTTAGTATTCCCAGCCATATGCCATTATTGCTGGTCTAGCAAAGATAAAACTGATCATTAATTTGGTCAGTGTCTTTTTGCTGTTGAAGTGTGGAACTGGTGATGTTCAGTGCTGCATTTGCTTAACCAAATGGGAGGATCTATTCTTAGTATGGCTTAATGGGTAGTGCTTCAGGTTGCTAGAGGGAATTCTCATAGAGCTAAGATCGCCAGGTGTTCCTTTGTCACTACTGTATAGAATCTTTGGAAGGAAAGAAATTGCAGGGTTCATGATGGAGCTTTTAGCAGTGCTTCCCAGCTTGGTATTGATGCTTGTATGGAGGCAATTGCTTAGCAGTTGAAGACTATTTGCCTCTATGCTAGTTTTGCTGTTGTGTTCCTTAAGTTTCCTTTTCATTTTTTTTTTTATTTTTTTATTTTTATTTTTATTTTTCTGGAAATGGTTTCTTTCCATGACCAATTGATGATGTCTCTATAGGGGTATGCCTCTATTATGTTATCTTGTACATTATTATTATTGTTATTTTTATTTTTTAAAATCACCCCATTCGGGAAAAAAGGATTACCTTACATTGGCAGACCAATTATACATGTAGGTTTGAGTATGGAAGAACTGGAGAGGCTGGCTAATCTGGGAACTAAAGCTCAAAAGACAGCTCGCCGGGACATTGCACATGTTGTAAGTGGAACTTAACACTAGCCTCCATGTTCATGTGGCCTATATCTTGGGCACGCATTGTTTGGAAGTTATTTATTTGTTTTTTCATCATTTGCCATACTCTGGATGTGTGCAATCTGATAAAAAATGGGAGCCTACTTTTGCAATGGTATTTGTAGCTGTCTGTGTAGGTGAGGGACCAACAATAGGGAATGACCTTTTTACTTTTGCAGTGGTTGTAGTGGGGGGACAACGGTATATGACATGGAATTATAGGACTTCTATTTTGTTATTTGTTGAGAGAGAGAGAGAGAGAATATATGAAAACGTATATGTTATTAAGTACTACAATAATATAATGGTGTTTATATAGGAGAAGCTACGAGAGTAGGTGAGTGGAGAACAAGTAAACCCTATACATGGTAATTCTAAATATGGTAATGAGGGGTAGGTGACAACTCATTCAATACTAACTGTACAAGTGTGACAACTTATACAATACTAACTGTACATGTGTGACAACTCACAACATTAACTGTACACAACGTGACAACTCATACAATACTGTACAACACTCCCCCTCAAGTTGGAGAGTAAATGTCAATAACTCCCAGCTTGCTATATATGGAATCAATAGAGTTTTGGGGAAACGCCTTAGTGAAGATGTTTGCCAGCTGTCTACCAGAAGGAACAAAAGGTGTAACAATCTCATTAGTGTCAACTTTAGATCGAATGAAATGGCAATCTACTTCAATGTGTTTAGTCCTCTCGTGGTAGACTGGATTGCTAGCAATATGAATAGCTGACTGATTGTCACAATGGAGAGGAATTGGGTACTGGACTGAAATCCCAATTTTTTGTAAAAGAGTTTTCAACCAAGTAAGTTCACAGGCAGTGTGTGCCATGGCACGATACTCTACTTCAGCACTGGAACGAGCCATAACTGACTATTTTTTACTCTTCCAAGTTACTAGATTTCCTCATATGAAGGTGCAGTAACCCGTGGTGGACCGTCGATCAGAAGGAGAACCGGCCCAATCTGCATCTGTGGATCCCTCAATCCGAAGATGTCTAGAAGATCGATAAAGCAGACCACGTCCCGGAGCACCCTTGAGATACTTCAAGATGTGTACAACTGCCTCCATGTGAGGTACCCAAGGACTAGTCATGAATTGGCTCACAACATTGACTGCATAGGAGATGTTTGGACGAGTCATTGTGAGGTAAATAAGTTTACCTACAAGTCTTCGATACGAAGATGATGATTGGCATTGGTAAGGAGAGAGGAGGTCTTTACTACTTGGAGAAACGGGTAAGGGAGTTGAAATTTGAACCTAGCTGTGGTTTTCAAGTGTAGAGAGAGTCTGATAGAGAGAAGATATTTTTATGGCATTGTCGTTTGGGACATCCATCTTTCTCTTATTTAGAGCATTTATTTCCTAAGTTGTTTTGCAATATTTATGCTTCTAGTTTTAGGTGTGAACAATGCATTTATGCTAAACACTATCGTGTTCCTTTTAAAGTGAGTTTTAATAAAAGTTCTATTCCTTTTTCATGTGTTTACACAGATGTGTGGGGTCCTTTTCTACACCTTTTGCTTCAGGTCATAAATACTTTATATCTTTTATTGATGACTAATAGGCGATTTCAAGATTGAAAGAAAATCTGTATATTGCCTTCCTTTGAATGGTTTACAATGCTTTAGTTAAATAGGACATACAAGGGGCTAAAAAAAAGGAAACTACAAGCTGACTACAAGCTGTGACAGCAAACTACAGGCTGTAATTACAGGCTGTATACTAACAGAAGCTACAGGCTGTGCACTAATAGAAGCTATAGGTTATACACTAAAATATCCCCTAAAATCTGGTCATTGACTATCTATATTTACACGCCTATCATATCCCCTAAAATATGGTCTTATTAAAACCAAATATCTCTTTTTCAACACTCCCCCTCAAGCTGGCTTGTAGATGTCTTCCATAGCTAGCTTGCTTCTTAAAACTTCAAACTGTTTCTTGTGGAGTCCTTTGGTAAGGATGTCTACAGCTTGTTCAGTAGTAGAGACATAAGGAATGCAAATCATACCATAGTCAAGCTTTTCCTTGATAAAGTGTTTGTCAACTTCCACATGTTTGGTTCTGTCATGGAGGACTGGATTATGAGCAATTGAAATGGCAGCTTTGTTGTCACAGTAGACTCTCATTGGAGGAGAAACAATAACCTTCAAATCTTCAAGGAGTCTTTTTAACCATATGGCTTCGCAAATCCCATGGGCGAGTGCTCTGAACTCGGCTTCTGCACTACTCCTCGCTACTACATTTTGTTTCTTGCTTCGCCACGTGACTAAGTTTCCTCCAACGAAGGTGCAATATCCTGAGGTAGATCGTCTATCAACTATACTGCCTGCCCAATCAGCATCTGTGTACACCTCCACTTGTAAATGACCTTGTTTCTTGAACATAAGTCCTTTACCTGGTGAGCCCTTTAAGTACCTCAGAATCCTGTACACTGCTTCAAAGTGTTCCTGTCCAGGAGAGTGCATGAACTGACTCACCATACTGACTGCAAGTGCTATATCTGGGCGTGTGTGAGATAAGTAAATTAGTCTTCCCACCAATCTCTGATATCTTTCACGATCAACCATATTCTCGGGTTCGGCAGCTTCTAACTTCAGGTTGACTTCAATTGGAGTGTCAGTAGCTTTACGCCCGAGTAGTCTTGTCTCATTAAGCAAATCAAGTACATATTTTCGTTGATTTACGAAAATTCCTTCTCTTGACTTGGCAAATTCCATTCCAAGGAAGTATTTTAATGCTCCCAGATCTTTGACTTCAAAATCTTTAGCATGTTTCTTCTTCAGTCTGGTCAACTCTTCAATGTCATCACCTGTCAAAATTATATCATCCACATACACAATTAAAATGGCAATTTTCCCTTCCTCACCGTGTTTGTAGAACATGGTATGGTCTGCCTGACTCTGATGATACCCATGACTCTTCACAGCCTTTCCAAAACGTTCAAACCACGCTCTTGGAGACTGTTTCAAACCGTACAGGGATTTTTTGAGTTTACAGACTTTGCTCTGACTGTGTTTTCCTTCGAACCTAGGTGGCAAGCTCATAAACACTTCTTCTTCCAAGTCTCCATTTAAAAAGGCATTTTTTATGTCCAATTGATGTAATGGCCAATTAGAATTGACTGCCAACGACAATAAGACTCGGATAGAATTTATTTTTGCTACAGGAGCAAACGTCTCTTGGTAATCAATGCCGTACGTTTGCGTAAAACCTTTCGCCACAAGTCTTGCCTTGTACCTTTCCACACTACCATCAGCTTTACACTTAATAGTGAAAACCCATTTACACCCAACAGTTTTCTTTCCTTTGGGTAAGTCAACTATCTCCCACGTTCCACTCCTTTTAAGAGCATTCATCTCCTCTAACACTGCTGATTTCCAATTCGGATCATCTAGTGCTTCCTAAATGTTTCTTGGAACAAACAAGTGAGAAATATTTGAAGTAAAGGCCCTATGTTTATGGGAAAGTTTATCATAAGACAAGTATTTGGCAATGGGATGCTGCGTACAGGTTCGGATTCCTTTTCTAACAGCTATAGGGATATCAAGGTCTACAGGAACTTGGCTAGGTGTCTCTGTACGATTAGAAATAGTAGGGACAACTGTAGACAAGTTAGGATTTAGAGTACCTTGAGTGTTCAGGGAGTCATTTCTCGGGACCTCTGATTGGCCTTGCTCAGGTACAATAGTAGGCTCTCTACTCTTTTGATGAGTCTTTTTTCTGTTATAAACCAGAAGCTCAGGATTCGGTTTTTTTGGAACCGTTGGTAGGATTTCTCCCCCTGTTGGAGATATAGTAAGGCTCGGCAGATTAGGACTAGGAGGCCCCGGGTTTCCTGATTCTAGAACATCATTTTCTTGTTTAAAAAGATCAGTGTTTGGAGTAGAGTGTGAGACAATAGTTTTAGGTAAGGGAATATTAGTAGAAATCTCCCAAAAATTTTCTTCACTCTCTTTCTCCCCTTGAAGAAAAGTTTTCTGAAAATAAGGATGATTTTCTAGAAAAAAAACATCCATACTGATAAACATTTTTTTTGTTGTCGAATTGAAGCATTTGTACCCCTTTTTATTTGGGGCATACTCAACAAATACACATTTTTCAGCCCGAGGATCCAATTTAGATCGAAGTCTACTAGGTAAATGGACAAAGACAGTGCACCCAAATACTTTCAAAGGCAGGTTTGAATAAATCCGAGTTTCAGGAAAAGATTTTTTAAGGCTTTCAAGGGGTGTAAAATAGTTAAGAACACGAGTAGGCATCCTGTTAATCAAATATGTTGCTGTTAAAACGGCTTCACCCCACAAATACTTAGGAACATTCATTGAAAACATGATGGCACGAGAAACTTCAAGTAAATGTTTATTCTTTCTTTCAGCAATTCCGTTTTGTTGGGTTGTGTCAACACAAGTGGATTGGTGAAAAATTCCTTTTTCTGTTAAAAAACTTCCTAAAACTTCATTAAAGTATTCGGTGCCGTTATCAGTATGAAGAATGCCAATTTTTGTTTGAAATTGATTTTCAATCATCATATAAAAATCCTTGAATAATTTTTCAACTTCAGATTTTTCATTCATTAAATACACCCAACACAAACGTGTATGATCATCAATAAAAGTCACAAACCATTTTTTTCCAGAAAGAGTTGTGATCCTAGAAGGGCCCCAAACATCGCTATGGATTAAATAAAATGGTTTTGATGTTTAGTAAGGTTTAGGAGAATACGTAGTACGATGACTCTTTGATGAAAAACAATTCTCACAATAAAAAGATGAACAATCCAATCCTTTAAACAAAGAAGGAAATAATTTTTTAAGATAAGGGAAACTAGGATGCCCTAGTCTAAAATGCCATAGCATTATTTGTTCTCTAACAGGGATAGAATGAAAACTACTCAAACCTTGAGCCTTTTTATTACTTGAAATATCATCTTCAAAATAGTAG